TGTAAATTAAAAAAATAAATTTATTTATTTTTCTTGTTTATTGTTAGAAATAAATGTGATATTTATGCTTTTAGTAAAATTGTGATATTTCTTTCTACTGTTCTGAATATTTAGATATTGTAAAATTCATGTGCAAATGACTGCCTTATTATTTAAAAAAATTGACATTTTTGCATTTGATTATAGTATTGTTGTGAAATGTTTATTTGTGGATTGATATCCCATAAATTGTGATAATTCCGTATTCTTGAATTTTTATAAGAGTTTTTCTATACATAATAAATTGGCAATTATGCTAGAATGCCTTTACAAACTGCTACCTTTCTAAATTTGAGCCCAAAATATTTGATTGGTTATTTTTGAAATGTTATAGAGAGTGACTGTTATTAATGGTTTAAGTGAAATTCATATTAATGATTTCAGTGATATGTTGAGTACATGATATTGCTGCTTTCGAATGTTTAAAGAGATTTAGAAATAATTTAAGTATGCAAGTGGACTCAAGTGGACTCATCCGGTTCGCCGGTGAGGTATAAGTGAACCTATCTGGGACGCCGGTAGGGATTAAGTGGACTCATCCGGTATGCCGGTGAGGTATAAGTGGACCTGCAGGGATTAAGTGGACTTATCTGGGACGCCGATAGGGATTAAGTGGACCCATCAGGACGCTGATGGGGTATATAGGTGACCTACTTGGGACGAAAGTAGGGTAGTTTGTGAAATCCTTTGAATTATGTACTGCCGTTAAAAGTGTTATAAGCATTTCAATTACTCGGATTATACTTAATTATGCATTTATTGAAAGTGAAACTGTTGATGCATTTCTATTAATAGATCTCATTTTGGAAAATATTGATATCTTTCAATCATGATTATTTTTAGGATTATGATGATCACTTACTGAGTAGCCAAACTCATCAAACTATGGTAAACATTTTTTCAGGATAACTACGGATTCATTTTGAGTGCTAGTCAAGATCAACCTTGGAAGATACTGTTGTTGTGCTAGCTTTCTTTATTTATTTTGTAAGACCTCGCCACTGTAAATTTGTCCTATCAATAGATGTATATATGTTTTGTCTGTCACATCTCAGGAATAACAGTACTGTAAATTCTTGAGGTGTGAGTCAAATTCTCACACTTGAAGAAACTAGGGCAACACTACACCATCCAAATCTGAACATCACCACGTTGCCACTCTTTGAGTAGACTACGGCAACTATACACAGAAAAATTTCGAGAGAGAAAACTATGGCGGAACATCCACGATTGCCCACAAACCTCGAAACTAGGTAACGATTCCTCTATTGATCTCGATCTTTAAATAGGAAACACACAAATAGCAGCATCACCACACTAAACATAGATGCATGGATTTTTGTGCACAAACTAGGAAACAGCCTAGGGTTTAGATCTCAATCTTTAAAGAAGAGATTGCCCATAAACTTCGAAACTAGGCAAAGATTCCTCTATTGATCTCGAGCTTTAAGGAGGAATCAAACAAACAACAGCATCACAATAGTAAACGCAACCCACATGGATTTCTGTGCACAAAACCCTAGGAAACAATATAGGGTTTAGATTGAACAGTCCTAGGAAGAAACATTTTTTTTTAAGCCATACACCCCAAGAATCGATCTTAGGGCTATGGCAAAAACAATGCAAGCAGTAGTAAATAAATCAATAAATAAATAAAGGTAACAAAGATAAAAAGAGCAAGAGGATCAATGCTCTGATACCTTGCTAAAAAGAGAAGGAAAAAGGGTGAGGGGGGTGAGGGAGAGATTGAAAGAGGAGAGAGAGTTGAATAGAGAGTGATCTGAGAGTCCAATATACCTCATGCACCTCTCCCATCTTCTTTTTATACTAATGAAATATGAAAAATGGCAATACTTCCTATACAAACTGAAAATAGGACATATAGAACAACTTAAATGAAAAAGAAATAAAGATAGAAAGACTTTTTAACATATTCTATTAATAGTAACTTAATCAATATAATAAAATACGTACACTAGCTCTGTAAGTTTTTGTAATTAACAGAATCTAAGCTTTTGTAAGCATGGTACAATTGACCCAACAAACACAAACAAATGACGAGGAAGAGATCCACATCAAAGCTCGCACACATGCATCCCATTCAGCCAATACAACATACTTCATAACTAAATATTTATTATATTTTCTTCTAAACCTTTTAGAAGGAGTGCCCTTCCCCTTACTAGCATCCAAAGGTTTTTTATGATCGCTAACAATACTTTATTAATAGAAATAAATACATAAACCAGGATATGAAGGATCGACATTAGAATATTCTGCTTTTATCAGATTCCATGAAGCTTCTCATGCATGATTCGCCTATGTAGTTCTCTTAAAATCTAAGTGTCACTAAGAATACCAAACTTCACCCAACATACAAATCAACCATGAGGAAGGGTGTCACAATAAGGCTAACACACACAACCCAAACAATCAACTGCCTAGATGCCTCCCATATATAATACTTATAATGATTCTCACTAGGTAAATCTGAAAGACGGTAATCCAGCCTTGCCCTAATGGATGAGGAACTTTTGACATTATATACAAAATATGATAATTCCAATTATATAGTCTATCTGAAACAAATATTGCATCCTTGCCCCAGTGGATGACAAACTTTAGACATGGCTTTGTGGTGAATACCTAATACACTATACATTGGAATATTGTAATAATGCATTATAATATATATATATATATATAT